CGAGAGAGTCCATTAGGAATAGGATGCAAGCCACGTGTGGAGTTTCAAACACACACGAAAAAGTAGAATGAAATAGGCGACGTGAAAAGACACGGAGGAACCTGAAATGCATTTCACTAAGTGACAGAAGCCAATCTGAAAAGGCTGCATTCTGTGTGATTCCAACTATACGACCCTCTGGAAAAGGCAAAACTGTGGAGACAGTGACAGATCAGGGGTTGCCAGGGGTCAGGGTTGGAGGGTGAACAGGTGAAGCACAGGGTGTGTAGGGCAGTGACACCACTCTGTGTGACGCCCTAATGGTGGGTACGTGTCTTCACACGTGTCCAAACCCACAGAATGCCCACCACCGAGTGACCCCTGATGCACACCGTGGCCTCTGCCTGACTGTGCTGTGTCAGTGTAGGTTCCGCAGCTGTAACAAATGTCCCATCAGCCGGGGGATATGGCTAGCGGGGGCAGTGGGGACGTGGGAAATCTCTGTACTTTTCTCTCAGTTTTGCTATGACCCTAAAACTGCTCTAAAACATTGACTCCATTAATAAAAAAGAAACAGGTGAAATTAATATTAATAACAGATTTTGTTTCACTCAGTATGTCTAAAATAGTATTAAGTCAACATGGAACCAATGTAAGATCATAATGAAGTATTTTGCGCTCTTTTTTTTTTTTTTTTTACTGTTCGGGAAATCGCTGTGTCCTGAATCCTAACAGCGCGCCCCACTTCCCAGTGCTGACCAGCCTGCCCTGCCCTGCAGGGAGGCTCAGATCTCTGTGTGGCTCTGGGGACTGTTCACGCCCCGCCCTGCCCCCATCTTCAGCATCTGGCCCTGGCGTCTCTCTCACTGCCCACTGTGGCCGTCAGCTTCCCAGGCACTGCTACCCACCTACTTCTAGCTGCACCCCGAACCCGGCTCAGATGCCCACCTGTGGAAGGTAGAATAATGCCCCCCAAAAATATCACATCCTAACCCCTGGAACCGGTGAATATGTCACCTGACGTGGCAAAGGGGACGTTGCAGACAAGGTTAAGTTAGGGATCCTGAGATGTGGAGGTGATCCTGGGTTATCTGTGAGCACTGTGTAATCACGCGGGTCCGTAGAGGAGGGGGCCAGAGGGAGAGCTGATGACAGAGGAAGGAGATGGACAGTGGAGGCAGAGACGGGGGCGCTCTTTGAAGCTGGAGGAAGGGGCCACCAGCCGAGGAGTGCAGGCGGCCTCTGGAAGCTGGGAAAGGTCAGGATGGGGATTGTCCCCTGGAGTTTCCAGATGCGGACACTTTGGTTTTAGCCCGTAAGACCCATTTTGGCCTTGACCTCCAGAACTGTATGATACTAAGTGTGTCTCATTTTTAAGCCGCTAAGTTTGTGATGACTTGTTACAGCTAAGTTTGTGATGACTTGTTACAGC